TGAAAAATACAGGGGTGTATATGTCTTAAAGACACGGGAGGAGTGTACACACGTGTATTTTTATATATATAAAAGAGGGCCCTATTGATAATAAAAAAAGAGAGTCATAATTAAAATACTTATTTTCTCTAATTATTTCTCACACAAGTGTTTACTCGAGATAAATGAAGCTTGTGTGCACAGAATCTTGGTATATATTCATGCACGCTATCCAACACCAAGTAGGCCATATTAAAAGCAGAGGGTATATTTGTGTATATATATATATATATATATATATATATATATATATATATATATATATATATATATATATATATATATATATATATATATATATAGTTATAAATGCAGTTGGATTTGGGCATTAAATTGATATCTACTTGTCAATATTTAATGCATGGGCTGCCCTTCTTTAAATGCGTTTGATGAAGAAGAAAAAAAAAAATACATACTACTACAAATTTATAATAAGCCCCTCCCATCAGCTCATAACTGCATGCCAGAATATATACATACACACACTTCTCTTCTTGCATCCTTAAAACTACAAACACTATTAACTTTTCACTTTTAAGGTTATTTTTTATTTGGTACTAAAAGTTTCATAGTAAATAATTAATATATATTTATGGAGTTTACGCAACTGTCTCTTGCTCGAGGGCGATATAGGGATGGGAAGAGAAGCATCGACGAAGACAGAGGCGAAGAGAGTGGCGTCGGTTTTCATGCAGCTATGAATAAGAGAAAATGGAACACTAGTACAGAAGAAGCCAGTGCAAATAATGGTGTTGTTGATCTTCATCAACTTAAGAACCCTTTGCCCTCTGATTGGGAGCAATGTCTTGATCTTCAGGTACTCTCTCTCTCTCTCTCCACCCCTGAGTTATGGTCAAATTACGAAACCTCCTCCTGTTTAGATAATTACAGCCACCCCTCAACTATTATCATCTTAGAAAAAGCCCCTCCAGAGTAATTTAGGTCAAGCTAGATCAAAGAATTAAGAATTTTCCTTCT